ATTTTTAATTCATAACAATGCACAGGAAAAGATTTGCACAGCTTTGCACTTTAAGATGTGTTTTGCACACTTCTATTAATCACTCCTTTCCTACACTAAGAAAATGCTTCAGTCTCAATTCCCACCATCCCCAATTTCAAAGATGGGGAAACTGAGGCAGAGAGGGTAGCTAGTGTCAGAGCACCCAATCCATTGCCCATTGAAGTGAAATATTTCTACCGACTTAAGTGGGCATGGTCTGTTTATGGCCCCATTACCACAATATCTGAGCACTTCACAATCTTTATACTGAGCCTTACTCCTATGAGGTAGGAAAGTGGTGCTATTCCAGTTTTACAGATGAGGGATTAAATGACTTGCTCAGGGTCACAAAGGAAGTCTGTGGCAGAGCAAGGATTTGCACCAAGGTCTTGAGTTCTAGACTAGCACCTGAATCACTGGACTATTCTTTTTCTCTGAACTATTCTCATCCTTATTGTGAGCAGGATTGGACCCAGAAATACATGCATTAGTAATACAAACAAAACAGCTAGCAGTATATCAATTTTTGGTATTCTTGTGTTTCTTTTCCCTACTCTGGAGGTGAAGTCAATGGGGCCAGAATTTCACCTTAGGGGTCATGTCCCACAATAATAGTAGCTACTTCTCAGTCAAAGAAAATATATGAATTACCCCTATTTTCTATTCGCTTATATCATATTGCATAATATAATTCATGAACAAGAGTCAAGCCACTTCTGCCCAGATATCAGACGCACCCCTAGCGAACTGGAGATATCTCCACTGATTCTACACCAAATTATGGATTGCAAAGTGTTAATTTCTAGCAGTAAAAAGGAAATATTGCTGATCCTAATGGAACTGTAACTAGAACATATATTGGTCTGTTGTAGCCAGGCAATGATACTGTGTCCAGCACCATGCTATCTGAGGGCCACCTAGTAGTACACTTGCATCTGTTGGATGTGGTTCTTGTCATCAGTGAACAGCCATGAGACTTTTTAAAAATTGTTTCTAGCTGCCCATGTTACCTGTGTGGTGGTTTGGTTTGGTTTCATTGCAAGTCTTGTGATATATGAAGCCTTAGCTCTGGGAGTCATGTTGATTACCTAAGAATCTCAGTTGTCCTTTTAAAAAAAGGAAGTGTCTGGTTCCCAGGGCTGCAGACAAAAGCTTGAAAATGTGACCCAAGTGTTCAAAACCCAGGTGGCAAAAAATCTTTTTTTTTTTTAAATCTTGTGATTTATTTATTTTTATGGTGGGAGTTAGCAATACTGAGTTTAGCCGATCTCTTTCTGGTCTATAGTCCTGACCTGAAATCCTCAGGACTCAGTGGAAAGATTCCCATTAAATTAATCCCATCTCCTAGAACCAGAAGGGACCAAAGATCATCAAGTCCAGCCCCCTGTCTTCACTAGCAGGACCAATTTTGATTTTGCCCCATATCCCTAAGTGGCCCCCTCAAGGATTGAGCTCACAACCCTGGGTTTAGCAGGCCAATGCTCAAACCACTGAGCTATCCCTTCCCCCATTCACTTGAGTGGGCTTTGAATCAGGAGCTGTGAGATGTGTTATGTATGTACAACAAGTCCAATCCTTAAGCACGTCTCTAGTCCAGTAGTTTTCAAACTTTATTTTTTTTCTGGCGACCCAGTTAAAGAAAATTGTTGATGCCCACAACCCAATGGAGATGGGGATGAGGAGTTTGGGATGTGGGAGGGGCTCAGGGCTGGGGCAGAGGTTTGGGGTGCAGGGGTGAGGGGTTCAGGGGTGGGGCCAGGAATGAGGGGTTCAGGGTGTGGGAAGGGACTCTGGGCCGGGGCAGGGGTTTGGGGTGCAGGATGGGGTCAGGGCTCTGGGCTGGGGGGTGCAGGCTCTGGGGTGGGGCCGGGGATGAGGCATTTGGGGTGCAGGAGGGGGCTCCAGGTTTGGGGGTGGCTCAGGGCTGGGGCAGGAGATAGGGGTGCGGGGGGTGAAGGCTCTGGGATGGGGCCGGGGATGAGGGGTTTGGGTTGCAGGAGCGGGCTCCAGGTTTGGGGGACTCAGGGCTGGGACAGGGGGTTGGGGTGCGGGCTTACCTCCGGTGGCTCCCTGTCAGCGTCGCAGCAGGGGTGCTAAGGCAGGCTTCCTGCTTGTCCTGGCACCACAGACTGTGGTGCACCCCAGCAGCAGGTCCGGCTCCTAGACGGAAGCGCGCAAGCGGCTCCGCGCAGCTCTCGCCTGCAGGCACCACCACCCCTCGCCCCCATTGGCCGGTTCCTAGCCAATGGGAATGTGGAGCCGATGCTTGGGGTGGGGACAGCACATGGAGCCCTGTGGCCCCCGAACGCATGAGCCGGACCTGCTGCTGGCTGCTTCCGGGGTGCAGCGTGGTGTCAACTGGTAGGGACTAGCCTGCCTTAGCCGGGCAGCACCGCCAACGGGACTTTTAATGGCCCAGTCGGTGGTGCTGACCATAGCCGCCGCGACCCAGTGCCTTCCATTCCGTGACCCAGTTCTGGGTCATGACCCGCAGTTTGAAAACCACTGATCTAGTTTATAAGAAAATCTCCATTATCTTCACCAAGAGATTTCCCTAAGGACTGAGTGAAGTCTGACAACGCATTTTGGGAGTTAGTTGTAGCAACTGGGCTTGTTGGACCTTTGTGGAAGCATGAAATGAGTTGAGGTGAGCCTGTGAAGAGTGAGCAGATCTTCCTAGGGCGAAGCCTTTGGAAGATTGCAACAAAGGAAACTGCCCCATAAAACAATCGTGGCTCAACTCAGTCCGGTCCAGTCACTCGATCTCCAGATCAACTTACAGATCGCTCTGCAGGAGGCAATGACGCTGACACTTGCCCATGGTCAAGCTTATTAAAAGCTCTCCACGGTTCCCAGCCAAAGGCCCTTTAAATAGGGTTAGTACTCACACATGCACTGGTCCAGAGCCTCAGTTACCTCAGAACAGTTTTGTGCTTCTCCACTGACTTAAACTACCTTCCCTAGCCCCTGCATACTCTATTGGGCATCAGGTGATCCTTGTGACCGACATGGGGGCCCTGATGGGGTGGGAAAGGTGTCCGTTGTCTGACTGCGACCTCCAGGTGGCAGGGGCTGTACCTGGCCCTCTGTTCTTTGTACTGTAATAAACAATTTGTCTGGGTATCGTGTTTCGGGCAGAGTTTCTGCTCAACTCCGTGGGGTTTCCCTGTGCCAAGCTACTGAGAAAGCACTTTTATCTGCTCTTGCAAGTTTATGACCTTGGAATGACAGCATAACAGCCTTATTCTCAGAGCCATACCACTGTCCTGCGGGCGGGGGGGAGGGCGAGGTGCCCAGGGACTCCCCCTTCTGGAGATCACTAAATCACCCCTGACAGGGAGGAATTCTATTGCTGCTCATAAAAAGGCTCCTGAAGAGATGGCTTCATTTTGCCTTTGGAGCACACCAAGGGGCGCACACAGTTTCCTTGGGCAAGGATTCCTCTGGACGGCTCTCCCAACTTCTTTCCTCATT